AACACTTCATGGATCATCAAGAGTGTCCTGATGTAGCAGTAATGAGCCACACTGGATTTGTCTTGTGTTTGGTGAACAGGATATACCTGGGCAAATTTTCACATAGATAACTACATTGTAGCTGTACTACAACAACTTGATCATGGCACAGCTAATACTGGAGCACAAGTCTTCCGTAGTATTGCTTGGATTGTGCCAAAACCTATAGCTTTTACTGTATTATGTGTCTTCAGCTATTCTTGGTATCACATTGAGTGAATCGAATTTGCTGAAGACTGGACTCTATGATGCTGGGTGCTTCAGGAGAAGGACAAGGTCAATCATTCACTCAATATTTCTGATTGAGGATGATTGCAAATGCTTCAGCGTTGTCCTTTGTACTGATGTGAGGGATATGCTGGATGATGGGACTGTTTGCAGAGGCAACAGCTGAGGCCATTTGTTAATTGTCCAGCCCCATTCATGAGTCGAGGTGCTAGGAATGCAGTACTTTGATCTCATCCACTAGTTGTGGAGTTGTACAGCTCTGTGATAATGTTTCCTGTGTTTCATACATGTATGTGCCCTACTTTGTAGATTTGCTGGGTTGGCACTTGATTTTGATGTATGCCAGGTGCTGCTCTGGGCATGTTGTTTTGCACAGCCTATTGAATTCAGGTGGGTCCTCTGGCTTGATGACAACTTTGAGGTATATGTTGGGTTATGAGGTTATAGAATGTGTTGAATATAATTCTACCACTGCTGATGCTCATCGGCACCTCATGGGTGCCCAATTTTGAAATTCTCTTTGGAATCTATCCCATTTAGCACTTTAATAGTGTTAGACAGCACAATGGAGTGTGAAGACAGGACTTCAACTTCACAAGGACTGTACAGTGGTCACGTATGCCAGACCAGAAGCTTTCCTTCCCTACGTGACATACGTAAACCAATAAGTTACTATGAGAATTTCATGGTCACCATTTCAAAGATGAGCTTTCTAAATCCAGATTTATTCAAGGAATTTAAATTCCTACAGATGCTACAGTAGGATATGAACTCATGACTCTGAAGCATTAGTTCAGGCCTTTGAATTACATAATCACATTATGACTATTATATTAGCGCATCTGGTACTGTTTTGTTATTGTAATGAAGCAGTGTTTTATCTAATCTTCACCATGGACGTCCAGTCTCTATATTTTATCTTGACTCCATTTTCTCCCCCCGATCCAGGAACTCCCCACCTACGACCATGACACCACCCATACCCTCCACCTCCTCCAAAACTTCTGATTCCCTGGTCTTCAACACCTCATCTTCACCATGGACGTCCAGTCCCTAAATACTTGCACTCCCCATGCTTTGGCCTAAAAGCCCTCTGCTTCTTCCTCTCCCACAGGCCCGACCAGTCCCCCTCCACCGACACCCTTAGCCACTTAGCCGAATTCATCCTTACCCTTAACAACTTCTCCTTCAACTCCTCCCACTTCCTACAGACAAAGGGGGTGGCCATGGGTACCCTCATGGGTCCAAGCTATGGCTGCCTCTTTGTAGGATACGTGGAACAGTCCCTCTTCCGCAACTACACTGGCCCTATCTCCACCTCTTCCTCTGTTATATTGATGACTGTATCGGTGCTGCCTTGTGCTCCCACGAGGAGCTCGAACAGCTCATTCACTTCAGTAACACCTTCCACCCCAACCTTAAGTTCACCTGGACCATCTCTGATACCTCTCTCTTCTTCCTGGACCTCTCTGTCTCCATCTCTGGCAACCAATGGATATCTATTTCAAGCCTACCGAATCCCACAGCTACCTAGAATACACCTCCTCTCACCCACCTTCCTGCAAAAATGCCATCCCCTATTCCCAATTCCTTCACCTCTGCCGCATCTGCTCCCAGGATGAGGCATTCCACT